GCGTGCCACATCTGGATGCAGGCTTGCATAACTAAGAGTATTCTGACTGTGTCGTGCTGAAAGTGTTACTCGTGCAGCACATCCTGTTTGTGAGGATGCTTCAGGTCTGCTCCTGCTTTCATCTCTTAAACACATTTTTATAGATTCAAAAGTGTTAAAAAGCAAATTCGTTGCTTCAAACTTTCTCTGCTGTATTTATGTGTAAACACACTGAATGAATTTGAATTGAACCTAATGATGCTCCACCTTTAGAATCATAACAATGATCATAATGAAACCACACCATCTTTCTCCTCTCTGTGACAGCGGCTGTGTCAGCGCACCACTGAGCAAAGATGCTACATGCACTTGGTGGCGTACAGTAGAGGCAGGCTGTGATGGCGTCTGCCTGCCCCCGCCTGCACGACACATCCCGCCGCCTTGTCTCCAGCCAGCCTGCCCACAACGCCCCGCTGTGGCGATGTGCGAGGGTGACTGGTGGAGGCAGGGTGGTACTGATCAGGCAGTGGATGCAGCACGGCCGAGTCTTTTAACGGTTGGCCCTTACCAACCTTCAGGTCTCTGTGCACTAAGCCATTTGTGTGACAATGACTACACTCTGCTGTATGCAGTGACTGTGGAGGCAGACCAGGCCAGAAGCAGAGAGGAGAGGGAGGACGGGTCAGTGTCAGACAGCTGGAGCAGCACTGCAGTGACAGGTGAACATCGAAAAGGAACAGTTCAGTGTTCGATGGCGTGAAGACTTTCTGCAGTGCGAGCTGCTGCAGAGGCAGGTCTGTCTTTGCTACAGACGGAAGCAGGAAACAGCTAAAGTGTCAGGAATACAGCTGCTTGGTAACAAACAGGTCACTTTGCTCACTGTCAGGACCTAAAAAGGTCAACTTTAAATATTCTGGATCCTACGGCCGGACTATAAACACAGGAACAGATAACAGAGGAGGAGAAGCACACAGGTGAGACGCACGAGAGACACGAGGACGCTAAGCTAACCAACAGGAAGCTTAACGGAGAGACGAGGGATGCATTCAAAGACACACACCAAGGATACGACTAGAAACACGAGCAAAGACTACACAGGCGCAGCGGTGACCATGAGCGATGAATACACTGCAGCATGGACATGTTGGCTGCACAAGCTCGGTGACGGTAAACAGCTCAGCTGTTTCCATCCACTCGTCCTGGGCATCTTTCCCGGGCTTTGCATTTCTAATGTGAGTGCACGTTTTCTTCTCCTGCAGGACTTTGAAAGCAACGGTGCACGAGCTTGGATTTATTTGGCATTTCTCTACAGTCACACAGCTTAAAATGATGCTTTTAGCCATCAACAGGATTCGGGGATGATTCTGTCGGTATATTTGACCACCGTCACCGATCTGAACATGTTGGCTCGTGGTCCGGGCCCTGAAGCGGAGGCGGAGCTCAGAGCAGCATGTTGTCCTGTCCTGTCGGAGAACCCAGCTGTGCTTCTTACCTGCACCGCTGTCAGCAGAACAGCTCCTACAGTCCGCACGGTGCTCTCAGGTTTAGGAACCTCAGCGTTACTCCTCAACATAAGCCTCTTGTCATTGGGGCCAAACAGCTCTTTGTCCTGTCCCACCGTCAAACTTCATTTTGAAGATTTATCCATACGGACACTGTGTGGTCGGCAACCTCTCCAACCACGGTGGTGGAAAACTCGCTTCACCGCAGTCTTGAGCCTTAATGGTTCCCAGGTTGATCCTGGACTTCCTAACTTCCTCTCCTCTGAGGGTGACGGCGAGGCTCCACTGAAGTTTGTCAAACAAATCCAAAGACAAGCTACCAGCTGTAGTCAATCATGATGACTACAACACAGTAACGTGTCACTGTGGAGCCTCCTGCAGCACTTCCTGTGGGCCTATATACATAACTAAGCCTTCATGTAGACTCTTGGCTTTGTGAGGATTGGAGAAAATCCTAAATAAATTCAAACGTGTGCGTCCAGCAGTCAGTGAGAGAGCCACTCAGAGCTGTCAGCAGCTACGGTGCAGGAACCAGGGACAGTGTTTGACGAAGGTTTCTGCTGCTGTCCAAGGAGCCATCTGTCTCGGCCCCGTTAGAGAACCAGCCTGCGACAGTGCAGGTCTGACAAACTGTGGACAGCACTGTGCAAACATCTTAGGCAGGTGAAAACGCTGTAAACAAAGAGAGCTTTCACTGTTTAAGGAGCCCAAACACAGCCGAACTCAGCAGGAACTCGTTACTGTGAGAGGAACAAGCAGCGCTGAAGTGACGCCCCCCTGATCTCAACATCATCGAGTGTGTCTGCGATCAGAGACCCGAGGACGCCCACATCCACAGAACATCTGTGCGTAGTTCTCCCAGATGTTTGCCAGCTGACTTCCTTCAAAAACTGTGTGGAAGTGGACGTAGAAGAAGGCGAAGGCGCCACCAAACTGATGTGATTTTGTTCACTGCGTCTTGTTGCCTGCTGAGAATAAATGATTAACACTCTCTGCGTGCAGCATTGTTCCTCACCTTTTGCTGCACGTTTGGCATCCTCAGTAATTATTTCTGCACAGGTACCTGCACCAGCGTTTGAGGCTTAACCAAAGCGCTCGTAGAGCAGACGTGAGCTCGGCTGAAGAACATCAAGCACAGACCGTAAAGTCCTGCCAAAGCATCAAGCTTCCACAGACAAGTGCTGAAGCTGAAAATCACATACAGCCATCGTGCACTCAGCCTGAGGTGGCAGCTGTACTCTTTGACTCTGGGGTTTCCCTCTGCTTCCAATCTGTGTGCTAAATACATCACCCACTCAATAAAGTCACACGTATGAACTGCTGAACTGTTCCTTCAAGTTGTTAAGAGAAAATACAAAGTTTGCGTCACATAAAACACAAACTCCACCACAAACAGCATCAATTAGGTGAAACTGTCCCATAACTCCTGCAGGAAGGAATAAAACCTGCAATGGAAACCTTTAACATGTTACACAAAAGTCACTCTGGATCAGGGATGGGTGCTGGTGTCCGGTGCCATGATGGCAAAAGATGCAAACTCAGCAGCCTGTAACAAGTGCTTTAAGCTGATACTGTGATTGCCAGTTATCGGACCCGGAGTCAGCAACATCCCCAAAAACCCGAAGAATAGAGTCCTGGCCCCTAGCCCTGCCAGTGTAGCAGAAATGATGAGGATGATGATGCAGCAGCAGCCGTTCTTCTCTGCGTGAGTAGCTTATGTTGTTCGTGTGTAATTTACGTTGAGTAGGCTAACCACGTTATTACATTAATGCATGTAAGGTGAACTAGCAAACATCATCATAGCTACATGCGGCTGTCTTCTTGTTTGATGGCAGATACTCCCTTCACCCTGGCAAAAAGGCTAAAATGACCAAAGAAAAAGTGGGAAACAGCTAAACATGAGAGGTTTTTGGACAAAGTTTGTGTTTTTTTCCATTGTTTAAGCACTGCTTCCAGCCAAGAGTGATACCATATATGCCCCATAGCTGCAGAAAAGGCTAACATTGTTATCTTTTTACAAAAAAACAGCTGAACATGAGAGGTTTTTGGACAAAGTTTGTGTTCTCCATTCTTTAAGCACCGTTGAGCACTTCAGCACCGTTTCAAAAGTACCGTTTGGCACCGGTATCGGATAAAACCTAAACGATACCTATCCCCATAGCTGCAGAAAAGGCTAACATTTTTTTACAAAAAACAGCTGAACATGAGAGGTTTTTGGACAATATTGTGTTCTCCGTTCTTTGAGCACCGGCACCGTTTCAAAAGTACCGGTTTGGCACCGGTATCAGATAAAACCTAAACGATACCCATCCCTACTCTGGATTATTTGCTTTATGGGTGATTTTTAATAAGCAGAACAGAAGCTGAGGAAGGAGCCTCCTCATAAAGGGACAGAGAAAAGGTACAGAGGGTTTGGGCACAAAAGGCATAGATGCATACGTGAGGCATGATAAGCTTTGCAAACATCCACTGTGATCAGCTGTCATTGTGTGTCTGCTCTAGTTCACCGTGGCTGCATGAATACGCCTTTGCTGCCGAGGGAGAGCGAGTCACATGACACGTCTACAGTAACGCAGAAAGGAAAGAGCTCACACTGACCTGGCATCAGCTTCACTGTAGTACTCCCTGGCAACGATGTCCTCGAACAGCTCGCCACCAGTGACTCTGGGAACGAACACAGCGAAACAAAAAGCAGAAAGAAGCTGATTTCACTTCATTTGCAGGGGGAATGTGTGGCTCCAGCACACGTACAGCACTGGTCCCATTCAGACTGGTTTGTTGAAGTTACTGCTGGTCACAGAGACGTCAGCTCTTTAAAGTGGCTACAGCTACATGTGTCCCACACGTTAGAGCAGAAACTCCATCCCTCTGTAGGGACTGGGCCCAGCTGGGGACACGAGGAGGAAAACCCTGATCCCAGCAGATGCAGCCAGGCAACAATATTACCGTTTCAGCTGGAGGGGAATTCCTTCCAGCTGAAAACGTTTCCATGACTCAAGTCAGATTTTCCAAGTAACACAGATCAAATCAAGTGGCACTAACAACTGAATCAGGTTGCAGCTGAGTCTGGAGATGTTCAAAGACGATGTTAAGCCCAGTAAATCAGCTAAATGCCCTCTAACAACTTGATGGTGCTGCAGCCATGCCCTCTCTGATCCAGGGTTTGTGCTTTAACCCACTGCGAGAGTCTCCCGGCATCCATACTGGCAATGATTCAATGAAGGGAAAAGAGGAGATGCTCGTGGCCAGGAAGCAGACACTCCTCTGATCTTATTATTGCTCGTCGAGTTTAGAAAGCCATTTCCTTTCTGGCTGCCAGATATGACTGCAAACAACAGCTGATGACACCCAGCAGGGAGGAGGCAGTCACTGAGCAGCGTTGGAGGAAGGATCCTGACTCCTACGAAGGTTTTTTCTCTCCGTTTGGCGTCCGTCCACACTGAGACGCCGTTTCCGGTCAAGGAAAACTCAGCGTTTTCTCCAAAGCGGAAACATTAGAAAACGTCATCTTCGCGTCACAGCGTGGACATCGAACCCGGAGCCTTTTCGAAAAAGATGCCGCACGTCAGTCATGTGGTGCAGTCATGTGACCAATTAACCAAAGATAGCAGAGGGCGTTACACAGCATTGTTCTGTTAAAGCTGCAGAGAGCTGTGCTTCAGTTTTTAACTCTCACTCGCTTCTGTACTCTTGTGTTACTCGCAGCAGCAACTCCTCCTCATTGTGAGTCCATTTGAAAAACTCGCTGCTTTTCCTCGTCATTCTGCCGCCACGCTTCAAAGAGCCGGAGAGTAAACAAGCAGCAGACAGAAATGAGGCAGGCCGTCAGCGTTTACGGCCGTTTCAATGTGGACGCACAACTTTGGCGAGAGTGGGAAGGAGAAACTCCCTTTTAACAGGAAGAAACCTCAGGGAGGGGCGGGGCCATCTGCTGTGATTGGTTGGGAGAATTAAAGATTGTTGCAGAATTAAAACGGACTTTCTGCACATCGATTGCTTCATTTGAGCTCTTGGTGCCTTACTGAGTCCAAACGGTGAAACGGAGAACAGCCTGCTGCCAGACGGCTTGTTTCCTGGGAAGCTGACTTCACCAAGACAACAGCACAGCCACAAACTGCTGAGCAGCTGAAATCACATATACAGCCAGAAAGCATCTGGCTTTAAAAGCTACACCCACAGATCTCTGCGATGTCTGTTAAAACTGGAGGTGCGGTCGTCAGCGTGACTCTGGTGCAAAATGCTGGCAGCACCTATGGATGAAAGGTGGCAGCTCTGCAGGGCTCTCACACTCTTTCAGAAACCTTGACCCTCAACAAGTTTGTCTGTGGCATCAATCTGAAGACCCACGTTGCCTCCTTCTGGAGTGAGGCCCAACCACGTGAACACGATGACTCCAGAACCTCACAGGATTTTCACACCAGAGCTGCTCTACAATAAGTATTTTGTAGACTCATACTGGATTGGTACAACCTCTCCTCCCAGTGAAGGAGCAACGTAGCATCTTTATAAATGATACGTTTTTAAAGAGATATATGAAGCAACAGCACCCGTATCGCTCATATATCACACACTGAATATGAGCTGTCAGCATAAGAAAGAAAAGCAGCTTTAACCCATCCGACTCAGGCCGGATACTCAGGGAAACTGGGATTCTTACATGGTAAAAAAGACACTCAGCAGATGGCTCTGGAACAGATACCTGCCATCTGTGTGAGCCAGCAGTAATCTCAGCGTGTTTATATGTTTATATGGATGCAGGAGTATAGGATGTGCCTGAGCAGATGGAGCAGAGGCAACACGCTGCATTTATTCCCCCCAGATGCCTCGGCGGCGGTGCATGGGACAGCGGCGAGGTTACCAGTCTTGTGTGGATGTGGGTGTGGTCTGCGCAGTCACACGTGTTTCGTGGTGCATTAGTGGAACATGTAACAATCAAAGGCAGCACTTACAAGTCAAAGACCAGATAGTGGAATCCTTCCTCTGATATGCTGTCGTGCAGCCGCACTGTGGGAGAAGGAGGGGAAAATTACGTTTTCATTGTTGCCCCGGCACCACGTGACCAGCAGCTGATGAGGACGGCGTTGTTCTACTTCAGATCTGCACGTGTGCAGAGATCTGCAGCAGCAATTTAAACACAGTTCATTTTACCTGTGGACCTGTGGAAACAGACTTTACAAGTAACTGCAGACGATTTATTCATTAC